AACGCGATTGAATACCTCCACAATGCACAAAAGCCCGAAGGAGGCTGGGTGGGTTCCTGGGGGATCTGCTTCACCTACGCTACCCAATTTGCATTAGAGAGTCTCTCCCTCGTCGGCGAGACCTATGAGACAAGTCCATACTCACGCAGAGCCTGTGAATTCTTGTTGAAGAAGCAGAGGAAGGATGGGGGGTGGGGTGAGAGTTACAAAGTCCGTCGTCTCTCTTGAGTCGGGCCTGACGTTGACAATGAATAAACAGTCGTGCGAGCAGAGCGCATGGGTCGAGCATGAGAACAGCCAAGTCGTGCAAACGTGCTGGGCGGTGATGTCCTTAATGTATGCCCGGTACCCATACCCCGAGCCCATCGAAAAAGGCATACAGCTTGTCATGTCGCGCCAACTTCCTGTAAGCTCTCGTCCTTTTTTCTTAGCTTCTTGCCTTCTCCCCTCCTTTTTGTTTCACCTCCTTCTGGAATGATTTTATTGACGCGATTCTCTAGAACGGCTCCTGGCCACAAGAAGCCATCGAAGGGGTGTTCAACAAAACATGCGCTATTGCCTACCCCAATTTCAAGTTCTCGTTCCCGATATGGATGTTGGGCAAGGCGCACAAGTATTTAGCTGAGCTCAAAGGTGGGAGTGGGAATGGATAGCATTGAAATACCGTGCTCCCGTTCAATGGTTTATAAATTATTGTCCGACTTTTACTGTGACACGGCTTTTTCTTGTAGTGGTCTTGGTCAATAGAAGTTCATCCCCAGTGACACTCAGTAAAAAGCAGAGTCAGACACAGTCAATTAAAAGTCTTGAGAAGGCAAGTAAAAAGTCATTCATTTGTACGGAATCACAGACTGGTTGTCTTGTGGTCATAGCCCAGCCATATGCTAGTCATACTTACATATACTTTCCAAGTACTCCCTCAAATCTGACACCATCTCGATTGCCGTGATGTGAAAGAACGGCGACAAATTTCTCTGAAGTCCGTTCAAACTCCGACATCATGCAATCACGTTGATTGAATATTGAATTCCCAATGCGACAATTCATAGCTCTTCCTTCCCACCACATCGACAAACGGCCTCTGCTGACAAACGGCCTTGCCTTGCCGTCCTCGGTGGGAGGTTAGACGGCAAAGGGGGAGGCAGAGAAGTAAGAGGCTGGGCTGGAAAGTTGACGGGATCTTTGGGTTTTATGGGGGCGTCGTCTCTGCGCGCGCGGGAGCATCTTTTGCAGGTGGAGGAGGTGGCGCCTTGCCGCCTCCTGACGAACGGCCTCCTTCCAACGAACAGCCTCCTCCTGCCTTCGACGAATGGTCTTCCCCCGCTGGTCTCCTCCCTCCATTGATGAACGGCCTTTTCATTGACGAACGGCCTTCTCCCTCCCTCGACGAACGGCTTCCTCCCGATGGATGACCTCCCGATGGACGACCTCTCGACGAACGACCTCCTCCTGACGA